TTAGATTGAGAGGAGCCTGACTTGAACTGTCTACCATAATTTCAGCTAAAAAGAGCAGGGGCTAAGGAAAAGTGATGTGGGGCACCAGAGAGGTGTGCTGCAAATGGTATAAGATTTTTATATTTTATAGAATTTGAAGATTATATAATTAATAAAGAGGAAAGGGTATTTTTAAAGTAAAGGGGGAAAATAAAAACAACTGACTATAACCACATTTTCAGGTACAGGGACAATGAAAGTTATTTTATTCAAATGTCTCAAAAACTCAGAATGGTAGGTATTCTTATTCCCATTTTAAAGAGAAAATAGCCTATCCAAATTCCTACAGGTATTAACAGATAAATCTGGGATATGACTCCTACTCTCTTGTGATGTTTAGTTGGTTCTCCTTAAAATACACCATGTCTTTTCTTGAGCTAAAACGTTCCTTACCTTGAGTAAATCTGGTTATTAGTTCCCCATTTCATACAGGCAAAATACAAATTTTTAATTGTGATATATAGGGCTCCTCCTATTTCTTGTCTCTGCCTATTTCTGTAAGACTGTGATTAGTCCTGGGCCTGTGATTAGCCCAGTGGCTTGACCTGCACAAGCTTACCTTATCCCTACTTACATAATGTTCCCTCTAATTGGAACATTATGTCTCAGATCCCTTTCCTCCTTTGAATCTCAGCATAGGTGGTACCTTTCTTTGGAAGTCTCTGACCACCATCCCTGCCCAGATTAGATTAGGCACCCTAGTGAATCCTCTGTCTTTATTTTCACAGCTCTCTGAAAGCAGGAACAGTGCCTTCCAACTTCACTGTGCATACCGGAACACCACTTTCTCATGCTTCTGCTACCTCTTTGAGAATGATTTCTGAATTCCTTCCTTTATGCCTTTTTTAAAACTCAGTGTTTCCCATGCATTTGTTCTGAACTCATTTCTGTTCTTATGTAAAATGTTGTCTCTGGGAAAAATCTCATTCATTTCCCTGATTCCCAAATATCAACCTTATTTGAGCAATTCCCAAATTCATTTAAGCTCCTAGCGTCCTTTGAATAATAAAAAACAAACTGCTTTCGGTGAGTATTCTTGTTACTTTTACCTGTGGTGTAACAGGCCCATGGAAACCAAAGACATGCAAACAAACTGGAAAATTATACAGATATCTCTCACCATCTTATAAATTTGTTCCTTTTGTGCATAGGTTGATGCAATCTCCATTAATGCCTAAGCTCAAACCACACAACTTACTGTGATTGTTTTTAACTAATATTTTCGGATTATTTCAACCCCAAATACCTTTTAGAATAATGAATGTCCTAATGATTATTTTAGAAAGTTTAAAAATTATTCAATCTTTTTTTTTTTGAAAGATTTTATTTATTCATTTGAGACACAGAGATAGAGAGAGAGAGAGCATGAGCGGGGCGGGGCGGCAGAGGGAGAAGCAGGCTCCCCGCTGAGCCAGGAGCCCAATGTGGGGCCAGATCCCAGGACCCTGGGATCATGGCCGAAGGCAGAAGCTCAACCATCTGAGCCACCCAGGTGCCCCATTCAATCTTTTTTTATAAAAAAGTGAGCAAAGGTAAAAAATGGTTTGTTTTATGTCAGTTTACTTCTATAGACAATTTTGTAATCATTTTGGTAATTGATCCAAGCATTTATCACTATGGGTATTAGAACTAGTGCGATAAAGTTGAGGAGGAACATAATATTTATATAGTTTTAAAGCATCTCTGTAAATGACCTATTAATTAGAAAGAGAAACCAGGAACCTCTTAGCGAGGAAACCTGGCAGACAGGATCTTAACTAAGTGATCAATTTAACATCATGAATAAAGGCACAAGCCAACAACCTGTGCCTCCTGATAGGATACACTGAGAGGAACAAGTATCATTCTCTGTAATGTTCCTGTCAAAGATGCATAATCTGAATACACTCATGAGAAAACATCAGCTGAATCTAAATTGAGTTAAATTCCACTAAATAACTGGCCTGTACTCCTCAAGTATATTAATATCATGAAAGACAAAGAAAGATGTAAAACCATTCTAAAATAAAAGTGTAGAGACATGCCAATTACATTCAATGTGATATCTGAAATACAATCTGGAAACCTAAAAAATAAATAAAATTAAAGCTACAAATGATCCTTAAAAAAACCTTTTCAAGTTTATAAATGTTTCCAAGATATGTTTTGTTATTTGTATGTTTGTATTTTCTTCCTCCAAACACATCTTAGCTTTGGTGATAGCCGTGACTACTATGGTTAACTTTGGTGAATGTAGACTTGGATAGGGCATAATGGATGCTTTGATGAACTGGTAATTTTCTACATTTTGATATGGGTGATAGTTTTAGAAATATATAGTTGTAAAATTATATCGATCATTACATTTAAGATTTGTAAACTTTATATAATTTAATAATATCAATAATTGGATTGCAGGTGGGTTTATTTCTATTGATTTATTTTTTCCTTTTGTTTCAGTCATCTGGTCATGTTGTGTGGAATGTTGATTAAATTTATATAAAATGCTGAGATTGTACATGAGAAATTGTAGAGGGAATATCAGTTTCTTCTAGTAGACAGATAAAATACAAGCAAATGGTGATACAAATTGGGATTAAGAAATCTGAAGGATAGATTTCAGATTTTTGTGAGAGGAAAGCTTTATTTGGATTTTTTTAGACTTTTTGGCAGATTTGTTAGTTTTATTTTATCTACTATTATTATTAGTCTATTATTACTATTATTGTTTTTGTCATTATTATTATTATTTGCTTTCTTTCTTTTCTTCTTGTCCCTGACATGCACAGCTTAAATATCAGCAAATGTCTTGAGAAAAAACTGCAGGCAGAATGTTGGCTAATTTCTCTGGTTTTCCTTTAAGTCTATGAAAGGAAAACAAACAAGCAAAACAACAAACAAAAAGAAAACCCTCTTCTGTCTACTTTCAGAATTCTTCATTTCTGACACCAGATGTGTGAGGATGTCCCAAACCAAGTAGTTCTTCAATTCTCTTCAATTGGGTGTCCTCAATTCAATTCAATTCTGACATATCTACCTGGGGTTAAAGCAGACTGACCCCACAGGCTTAGGGCTCAGTCCTAAATGACCACCCCCACTTCAAATGCCAATCCCAAGTCCCAGGTTGTTATAAGTGCTTCTGACCAAGTGGTTATAAATTGGAGGTTCCCATGATCCCCTTGTTGGCTTTGATAGTTTGCTAGAACAACTCACAATCTCAGGAAAAGTATTACCTGTTTGATTACTGGTTCATTATAAAAGGATGCAATTCAGGAACAGCCAGATGGAAGAGATGCATAGGATATGTGGGAAGTGACACAGAGCTCATGCCCTCTCTGGGAATGCTGCCCTCCCAGCACTTCCATGTGTTCACCAACCTGGAAACCCTCCAAACCCCATTGTTTAGGATTTTTATGGAGGCTTCATTACATAGGCAGGATTAATTAAATCATTGGCTATTGGTGATTAATTCAACCTTCAGTTCCTCTCTACAGTCCTTCTAGTGCAGAGGTCGGTCGGGGATGGGGCTGAAAGTTCCAACCCTTTAATCACCCTGGTTGGTTTCCTTGGCAACCTCATTCTGCAGTTATCTAAGAACTTTCCAAAAATCATCTCATTAACATAAACTCATGTGTGGTTGAAGGGGGCTTGTTATGCATAACAAAAGAAACTTTTTTTGCCTTTGTTGCTCTGGAGCTATTTCAGGAACCCAGGACAAAATACCAAATATCATGACAAATAATTCTCCCATTGCTCTTATTACTTAGGACATTACAAGGGTTTTAGGGGCTGCTGCCAGGAACAGGAATGAAGATCAAATATATATTTCCTATTACAAATCACAACAACACAGTTTGGAAACTTGTCTTCTTATATTCTGTTTTAGTAGCACCAAAATCTAGTCTTTTTCTACTCAGTCAAGAGAATCTTCCACAAGCTCAACTTACACAGTTTTCTATTTCTTCTCTATGGCACTTGATTTTAAATAGCGAATGCTCTGAGAGATAAAAGTGTAGCAAATATGGGGCTCCCCTCTGTATATTTCACCTTCTCCATTTTAGCCCTTTAAGATTTCTAGGGCCTGATTGGTCTCCAAATCTCTTCAAACAGCTTTCCCCCAAACTTACATCATTGTTTAAGTGAGATTACAGACTACTTCTTCATACCTGTAATTTTGAGCTTTGTTCAGGGATGCATTTAAGTTACTTAGAAACAGTTTGATCATTTCTGGTGTTGCTTTAATGATTTGTTTGGTGGTCCAGAGCAGTTCTCAGTGGAGCGCTAATGATGAGTTTCCAATGGCAAGACCTCTCTGAGTCCTCCACTCTGTGCCTCATGAATTAAGAGACATTTTTCAGGAGCTCCTTTTTTTCAGTCTATCTGTTGGGGATGGGCACTATTCCCAATGCTGTGTGAGCCCCAGGCCCTGTTTCCTTTAATGCTTTCAAATGATTGCCTCTGAATTTGGGTCATTGCCTCCCGTGGAGGCCCTGAGCCAGACCCTGCTGCATGGGGTAGGGCCCCTCCACAGATCTCACCAGTTGACTTTTTGCAGCACTGTCCTCCCCCATACACTGTCTTGTGGACTCTCAGCTCAGTGTCCTCAACTCTACCAGGTCTACTGGGCTTCTCTTCAGTTTCTCTCCCCTGTGCCTTGCTTGGAAACTCTCTGGAGGCAGTAACTTGGAGCAACTCTAGGGCTCCACTCACCTGTGTATTTCCATGTCTTCAGGATGGCTGTCCTCTTTGCCTGATGCATTTTGTGGATCTTGTGTGGTTTTGTTGCTGTATTGTTTTGTTGTTTCAGGCAGCAGAGTAAACCAGTTCCTGTGAGTCCACATTGGTGTGACTCCCTTTTGTCCCTAGGGGGAAGAGAGAAACACAAAAGCAACTTTACCAAAGCATGGATAGGCTAAGCACTAAAAAGAGAAAGGAGCACAAATTCTCAGACTTTGTCTCAGAGACCTTACCGTAGTGCTTCTAAGAAGACTCCAAAAAGTATGAATGCAGTTCCCCTCTTCAACAAATCATGCAACCAAATTTCCCATATTTGGGGAAATTGCTGGGGTCAGCACAGCCAAAGTACAGTGGATAAGCCTTACCCTGGAGAAACCACCTTCCTGATCATTACATTTTCCCGCCCCCCACCCATTTCATTAAGATATTAGAGATGAATGAATCTGAGATTCTACTTCATTTTCCCCATTTATTGAAACAATCTATTCATTGTCATTGTCCTTTTTTCATGTTATAATTGGTCTTTTTCCTGGAGTTTTTCAGTATATATACTTATGAATGAAAACTGAGAGTCATCTAAATGACTCCTAGGTTTAATGAAAAAACATACTTCTAGGAATGAGAATATGAATATAGTTACTTTAGTACTGTTAAAATTAAAAAGAAAAGTTACAGATACTTTCAAATTTGAAATTCATGCTGGTGGTTGACCTGGAGAGGGGAATATATATATATGTGTGTGTATGTGTGTATGTGTGTGTGTGTGTGTGTGTGTGTGTCTTCTCCCAGCACCCCCCCCATGTACAAACTTTGCACTTTTGGCTTAATTCAAACTGTATTCTAGCACCCTTTTAGGGGCCCATCATAGAGGTAATGAAGATCTCTTCTTAGAGTTATCTATGATTGGTCAGCAGGAGGGTCTCCATAAAATAATCTAGACTAAAAAAATTGTTCTGCTGTTGGTAAACTTTCTCTTATCTCAGTCATGATATTATCACTTTGATTTGTCAACCGATTTGGTGTTGGAAGTATTACACATGATTAATAGACTTATGTTACATAACTATTTATGAATAATTTTATATTCCTTGGTAATATCTATTATCAGTCCTATATTGTCCTTATCATTGAGGCTGGAGATGGCAAGGGGAAATACAGTAGAAGGCAGTGTATAAAAATAGGAGTGCATGAATGAAGGTCTACTGTAAACCAGGATTTTCATGATGCCAACATAGTTACTTTGTCCTTTGAATTTGGACGAATTAGAAAGGTAACTATTTACAGAAAATTTGAAGTGAACATGCTTCAACTTCTAATATCCTGAAGAGTTTTCAGAAAAGTTTGCTTAGAGTATCAGAGTGATTGTGAGTTTGAATGAGTATGTACTTATTATTTGTTTTTTTAATATTTCTACCGAAACATTTTATAGGTTTCTAATGATATAACATTAGGTCTTGTCAGCTTGAAATATGCTTTTGCTGTAGCTCTGATATTTTTGTTGTTGTTCTTATTTTATTTCTAATAATTCTAACATTCTGGTGGATACTTAGTAATATGATATTTTTCCTTTTCTAGTCAAGTGGAAAGCTTATTGGCAAAGCTTTTATGGACACAGAAGTTACTTAGAAAATTGAAATAAAGTTACAGAGGGTGAGGTGGGGTAATAGTGGACATTTTTCTAAGCTGTGCATAGCTGGGCCGTGTAACATTTGATGAAATTTGTCTACTCTTAAAGATTAAGAGCTAGAGATTACTGAACCAAATATTAGGATAAAACAACAGAAATAATTTAGAATTAAATATCACCAGCCTTCTCAACTTGACATTAATACTCTAGAAGGTCTTGGAATTTAAGAAATGTATTTCGTATTACCCTATAGAGGAAAGAGTAGTAATAAGCAAGTAAAACCCTGTGTTATTTCATTATAAGAGAACAACTGACTTTCTAAAGATTATTACTAAATTCAGAGAAAATAGGAACACATTCATCCAAAAGAGCTAGAAGCATATGAAGGGATGAGGGATTGTATTCTGAAGAACAAAGAAATTAGGTGTTGCTCTTTCAGGGTACTCAATAAATAATAGCCTTTGCTTCCCCCACATTTTGAACAAATGATACATTAGACCAAAGTAAGCTATCTGGAGTTCAAAATATTCTTTGTTACTGATTAAGTGTAAATTGACAACATAGGGCATTAGATTTACTTATCCCATTATAGGTAATAATGGCCTGTGGTGGGCATCCCCAAGTGAGATGACCTCCTCAGTTAAGACAAACGTTTGGAAAAGCAGGGAACCACTTTTGTTTACTTTTTTCTCCAAAAGGGAAGAAGTAGAAAAATTAGATTAGTAATTCCATCTCTGTAGGGTGGCGTGCCTAAACAAGTTTTCATCTGGAAGGAAAAACAGAGGTCAGGATGACACAGAAGACACATATTCTTTATATAATTTTATCTTTTAACTTTGAAAAAACAAGAACTATATATTGGGACTCCTCCCACTGAATTTCAACTCCAGATAGCAAACCTCCTGATAGCTTTCTCAAAATAGAGTATGGGAATATGAATAATGAATGTAAAATAATGCAAAAGCGTTTGGCAAAGCTATTATGAAGCATACATTCAAATGATAGTTCTCCTTTAAACTGCAAACCTTCAGAGTTTACATGTTTTATCAAACCATAACAGTATTGCTCAAAAACAGTTTTGAAATCTTTCTTTGGAAATTAATTTTGAGATTGTATGATGATCTTTTTCAGGAGATTATATTTTTGAAAAGTTTCAAAATAATTCAGAAGCAAGTGTTTTGTTCCTGCTTCCTCAATGAGCTCATTCCCCCATGCTCATTGTCTTTCAAACCCACACTACTTCCGTACCACATCAAAGAGACGTCTAAAACTTGAAAAAAAGTAAAAAATTGTATATGGACAGTCTGGTAGAAAATCTTACAAAGTCATGCTAAAACAGTGCTCTCCAAATCACTCTGTTATCCCAGAGTGGAGAGTGTTAGGCTATCCTGCTGGGTCCGATGTATATTAAATTATTGCCTGGCTAAGATAAGTCCCACAACTACCTGGACAGGTTTTACTTAATTGGTCTCAATACTTCATTCAGGTCTAACAGAACCCTAAACATTTTCTTCCAGATTGTTTCTTCCTTTCATACATTCTTGTCCATCATCAGGTGCTTTAACTAAATGAAAACCTTGTATTTAAGCTAAATTTATATAATGTAAATTTTATCTAATTCTCCAGTACACCAATAAATGAGGTTGTGGTTGTTATTCATCAAACTCTGGACAAAAGTAGCATAAAAATCAAATTTGTATTTTGATACAAGTAATTATTAAATAGTAATTAGTCAAATATATTTATCAAGGATCTCCTCTCTGAACTGCAAAAAGCATAATATTACAAATGTTCCAAATGTCAAATAAACCATAGCAACATCTAGCTTAACTTCTACCAAGGAAATCAAGTCTGCATATGTGAAGTAAAGTTATTTTAGAAAAAGATTGCATATAAAATCAGAATCCTAGAATTAGACTCTTCTGGTTTTCTCTATAAGTTAAGAAGAGCTATTGGCAGCTAGCCTTTGAGTGTAAAAGCAGAGGAATTATCTTCTTTAAATATAGCTGACCTGCATTTTATACAAGGCAGAGATGGTCAAAAATAGGAAATTTTGGCTCTTATCTGGACAAAGTCAAATTCTTCCAGTTTGTGCTAAGCAAGGGATAGATAAGTTAAGTTGAACCTTAATAAAATGGTTACATCAAAGGGAAGTCAATGAATTAGAATGACCATTTTCCCAGATTTTTTTTTTCTGATTTTAAATCTTAAACATCTATTCCTTACAATGAGTTAAAATCTGCTTTTCTCTTTCCTTCCCAGGAAATTCCATTAACCTCATCTCAGTTTGTTGCTACACAGAAGCCTTTGTTGCTTGACTGGCTTCTGTATGAGACAACAGTTATTCTCTTCCTCAAATTAAATGTTATCAGGTGTTTCTGCATAAACTAAAATATATAATATATACAATATAACATATATTATATAATTATATAATTAATTATTATATATAATATTTAATTATTAATTATATAATTAAATATCTTATACACACACACAAACTGGTATTTGTCAAAGGGGATACATTAGAATTTTGGGAGGGATAATTCTTCATAGTGTGGAATTCCCCCCATGTAATGCCAGTTGCTTAGTACTCTTGCCCCTTTTCTTAAATTCCAAGTGGCATTTATAACTTATTGAGACAACTACTAAATAGCCCTAATGCATTTCTAAATATCCTCTGGGTTTGGTATAGTCTTGATTAAAACCACATATATCCTTAGGCTGTACAAATTCCAGTGTTTCACAAAGCTAGATGTCTTCCTAGAACCGAATGAAGTCCAACTTTACAGAACATAGTAGAATTATCCTTCTGTTTTCTTCTGGGCACCATATGTTATTATAGAGTCCCATTTTTGACACACAGTATTTTAAAACATATTGATCTCAAAGTCAATTGAAATCCCAAAGTCATGTTCACATGTGCTACTGTTAAGCCTCATCAGTCCAACTCTGGGCATGAGTGGTTATACCAAAGAGCAAAGATTTTTATATTTATTCCTATTAATTAATTGTTTCTCTGGATAAGTTGCCCAAGTTTTTTGAACTTTTGAGGTCACGGATAAGTAACACATCTAGCTCTATCACAATTCGGGAGCTTATCATTTGATGTTTTCCATTTAGAACCCTTTGAGGAACCTCCACCCACCAAAATTTGTATGGGGATGATCTGATGACCTCAGTCTTCTCAATCCATGATACTCTGTTTTCTTTTTTTCTTAGCACTTGCCATAAACTATAATTATTTTGTTTATTTGATTGTTTGCTTTCTGTCCCTCATACTAAAATGTTAGCTATCTGAGGGCAGGATCATCTTAGCCACTATTTGACCCTTAGCACCCAGCACATTATTAGCCCACACAGGGTGCCTAGAGGGGTACTGTTAATTTTTTATCTAATGTATCAAATTTTTCTTGCAGGTTTAAATATGTACAAATATTTTTTTTTAAATTGCCCAATTTCATAGAACCTAATGGCAGATTATTGTGGCTTTTTGAGAACTTCTTCAAGCAAAAAATAACTTGTTAGCATAATTTGGATATGGTGGTTCATTCTATTTGGAATTCAGCTGTTTCTGTTATTAGTGTTGATTACCTATCATTCCTGGCTGTCCACTTCTTGGGTAAATAATTGAAAAATATTTGTGAAACAGTCACTTGCTTTTACAAATAAAAAAAAAATGTAGTTGAAGCAGCATGTGTCCCTTCTGAGTAGAAGTTTAGAGTGTCAAAATTTCCTGGGCTTTTGCTTCAGAATGATACCCTAAAAAGCAAATGGC